TATGTGTTGTTTACATATAAAGATAAAATATTGTCCAAATACAATGCATAAACAGCACTTGGGAGTCAAGTTGGAAAAAACTATTTTGGAACATGTTCCCGGACATGGTCTGGTCGATGAGGATGTCACCTCCATGTAAGCACCAGGTTTGGTCGAGAGACATTTAAGATAGAATCAAAGAAGGAATGAAAACCAAAATGAAGCGGTTATAAATTGCAATCAGGGCACACTCTTCCCAGTTCTACCATCTGATTAACTCACTGACTGCCAGGCATTTTCACATTTGAGAAGTGCATTCTGCCAGCAATTTCAGGTGATTTGACCCAACTTTGAAGTGCCACAGAATATTCATTTTTTAGACGATGTAAACACCAAGGGCACCAAATTAAAGATTAACCTCTTTGCTTTACTCTGAAGAAAACAGTTTGTTTCTACCTCTTACCGTTCTTGAGTTATTTGCCATAGAACAAAGCATACTTTCACCCATAACACCTGGTCTGAGCAAGAAAACAGAGGAAACGAGCTGTATGTAAACAGGAACATATCAAGCAGAAAAGAGACTTTTAGATGCATTATTGCTGCTTTACTGACAACTCAAAACATCTCCACACTTGTTCCATTACAAAAATTATGAAAACATGACTCTGAAATAATACTTTTGATGGCAAATTGTTGGCAATTTATTCAAACCAAAACCATCAACCAAAACATCCAACAACAACAAAGATCAATAAAACTATAAATAATAAAATAGAATGAAGCGTGTGAATTTGAGTGTGTGTCAGTGTGTGTGTGCATGTGAGTTAGTGAGTGTGTGCATGTGAGTTTGTGAGTGTGTGCATGTGAGTGAGTTTGTGTCTGCGTTTGTGTCTGCTTTTTCACTCCTCCCAATAGTTCAGCTTCGTGTGGTAGAGGTTGAAACACTCTCCTGTGTGCAGTGGAACATGGCACACAGGCGCACCACTTGTTGGTCTCCCTGCGAAGACCCCTCCGTGTACAGACCCGACATTTTCTGTTCGGTCTCTCCTTCCTGCTAGTGGCCATCAGGTGCTCCATTTTGTGCCTCCTTAGTTGCCCATCCAGCCGGCTCTCTGGGTCAATTTGTGGACCGTCTAATGAAGGGGTAGTAGGCCACGTTTTGGTCCAACTTATCCACTCCGTTCATGCACTTGTTGTACTCCACAACACACGCTGGCTTCCACTGAGGCACTTTCTGCTTCTCCCCCTTCTGCCACACTTCCACCTTCTCCATAGTGTTATGGTGACAGGTCGTCACCATTTTCACAAGCCTCTTATCCTGCCACGCCACCACCATCACCTTCCCGTTGTGTCTCACAATCCTGTCTCCAACTTTAGTTTTTGTGACCTCTTTTATCATTTTTGGTTCACCTCTATTTTTCCTCAGTGTTCCAGACACATTAGTTTTCTTCCCCAGTAAATGTTCACTGAGGGAAACTGAGTTATAAAAGTTGTCCATAAAAAGTGTGTGTCCTCGGCCTTGGAGACAACCCAGGAGAAAGAAGACCGTGTCCTCCAGTGTGGCGCTTGTCCCAACATAAGGGAGCATGTTGTGGAAGTAGCCTGTGGCCGAGTCACACAGAATGTAGGACTTTATCCCGTATTTCACTGGCTTTTGAGGGTTGTAGACCCTAAAAGCCAGACGCCCCCGCCACAGCATCATTCCCTCATCTATACAAATGTTTTTCCCTGGATTGTACAGATGTTTGAATTTGGTGACCAGGTAATCCAAAACAGGGCGGACTTTGAACATTTTGTCACCTACATCATGTGACCTATTATTGTTGTAATGGAGGAACCTCCAGATGAGCTGGTACCTGTTCCTCGACATTACTTTAGCAAAATATGGAGTAGCTTCAAGCTCATCCATAGACCAGTAGGACTCAATACTTGGCTTTTTGATGAACCCAGTGATGAAACTGAGCCCCAAGAACCGTTTGAGTTCAGGGACCGAGAGCTCTTTCCACCTGTTACTCCTGCTGTGGGGCAAAGGCTCAGTGTTTGTCTCCAAATACTGGCTGGCATAGAGGTTCGTCTGGTCCACGATCTGTTGGAGCAGTTCCTCCGTCAGGAAGAGCTCCAGAAAGTCAGCTGGATCAGACGAATCCAGCTCCGCAACAGGTCCCTGAGGTCCAGGTGCTCCAGTGAAGGGCAACTGACTCGGCTCCCACTCATTCTCCTGCCAGCCATCTTCCCCAGAGCCTCTGCGTGATGCACGGGCTGCAAAGTGGATACATACAATTACTATATTATACAGTGAATTTGTTACAATAATAAATATATAAAATACAATGAAGGCCACCCTCCCACATTATTGACTGACTGCTTTTGGACCAAAACAATAGTTGTATGCAAAAATGAATGAATGAATGAATGTTGTACATTCATTCATGTGTAAATGAATAATGTACAAAAACAATATACATAAAAAAATAACATACTAATAATATAGTATACTATATTATATTGCCATATGATGTGCAAGAGAAGAAATTAGTTTATTTACCTTTCTTTGCACAGGAACCGCCTCTTGCTGCACCACCTGTAAATAATAGGAATATTTATTATTCATTTATTCATTCATATATATAAAAAAAATCTATCTACCAGGAGAATATACTAACGAAAAATATATACAATGGTATGAGGAGGATTTATCTTTACCTCTGCTCCTTGCTCTGCCAACCCCAATGGGAGAAGGCTCTCTACTTTTATCAGAACCTGTGAATGGAGAACACATTTCATTTAGTCAGAGCTATGACACTATAAAAAGATATAACGAAACAAATACATAATAAATACTAAACTGATAAAACATAAGTGGCATGTACTAAAGAAGCAGTAGGGATTTGAGCGCGGTGTTACTTTGAAGATCAAAGCAAGTTTCCGCGCCTTTCCCTCCTTTCAAGTCAGCATATTCTAGGTAACATAGCTCTTACCTTCAGCTCTTTCTGGAGCTTCTGGAGAGGATGCTCTGCTGATATCCGACGGCAACCACTCATCTGATGAGTCAGGATCGGGTTCGCTGAAGTCATCCGAGTCAGAAAAAGCCGCAGGTGAAACACTGCGAGAGGCGGCAGGCGTCTCCCTGCTCCTCGCTCTCCCTCTGCGCAAAGTTGGCTGCGATGATGGACCCTTGCCGGGGTCTACACTCGCTCCCCTCTCTCCCTGACTCACTGATCGACGAGCCAAACTCTCAAGCAGTGTCAACTGCTTATAACTCGCCATCACTCTCACCTATATAATCTAAACTATCTCTAAACTATCGCTAAATTCGCTACTCGCTATGCTACTCTCTCTCAATGCTACCGCCACTCACCACGCTCTCCAAACACACCCACACTCCTTCTCCTCTCCACTGGCTTTTAAGCTCTCCTGTGGCGCGACACTGCATCCTACTGGTGTTGATTTATCATTACAGGTACATTTGCACTATATATCAGTATTGTGGGTCATTCACAAGGTGCGCCAGACATTACTGTAGCCTCCCGTGTAATAACATGAAAAACTCGTCTAAGTCGTCTTGGGCAGTGAGCGTCACTATACAATAGAACGACTTTTGTCGTCATGGGCAGTGAATGAGTTAATCGGCTGATTTTCTGTTCAAGGAATTTGACAAAATTATGATTTCACACGTGTCAGAAAGTAGAGGGCTGTTCAGGCAAATACAGGAGTATTGAACCATGTCCATGTTTAGATCGCTGTGATTAGAGGCAAATCAGACTCAGAGCAAACAGGAAGTGAAGAACGTCATCATCATAGACGTTATATTACCTGAATGGAGTATTGTTAGCTTAAGCGGCGTCCCCACACGGCGGTACTACCGACTGAAGTCAACTCGCTCAGAGGCTTCTCATTTCCCCTACGCTCTCATCCCACAGAGCCATCTAGTTGTATATACAGTCTGATGCTAACATTAGCATTAGCACAACTTAAGCTGTACAACAATCACTGAGGAAATGGTACAAAAGCAAAGTTCTGCTAACAAAATATATAACTGAAAGATTACCGCTAGTTTCGCATCCGAATGTAGTCTGAGCATAGACAGTCTGAGCATAGACAGTCTGAGCATAGACAGTCTGAGCATAGACAGTCTGAGCATAGACAGTCTGAGCATAGATAGTCCGAGCGTAGACAGTCCGAGCGTAGATAGTCCGAGCATAGATAGTCCGAGGCGGTCCCGCAGGTCTCTCCCATAGATAAGTCTCTCCAGAGGATACAATGTAAGCTAGCTATGTTCACCCGGGCTTGGTTTCTTCTTTGATCATTTTTCCGCTTCCGTCTTCTCTTCCTCACAGTTGTGTGGTTTGGGCTGTTTTGCTGTGTCTGCAGTTACAGCCAGAGGAGTTAACCACTTTCTGCTAAAATGCTACTGTGTTTAGCAGCGCTGTAGAGGCTAGAGGACGCAGCCTCGTTCTGTGATTGGAGGAGAACTAGCGTCACGCTAAGTCTGTACTCAGCCCTTTTATAAGGCCTGAATTCATACACAGCTGAATCAATGAGCTCAAGTTTTCAATTAAATGACAGATTATAATACAACTTGTATGTAGTAAAACACATGTCTATGAACTCATTAGAAAATAAATTGGGTATGGCTTCTTTAAAGCCTTGGGGTCATTTCGATCCGACGTCCCACAGTTGCTCTCACAAACACTCACACATTCACCCTGCACTATTGAACATGTGCTTAGTGGTAGAGGGAAATCTACACAGACATGGGGAGAACATGCAAACCTCACACAAAAAGGCCTCGTCTGGAGGTGGAATAGAGCCAGGACCTTACTGTGAAGCACGAGTGCTAACCACTCAGCCACTGTGTGGGGATTATATCTTTCCTCACAAATCTCTAACGATTATTGGATGGAATTCTGTTCCTTTCCTCCTGACCGTCATAAAGGCTCTTTGTGACTGTTTGAAGCATAAATCATTTCCTACATGGGCTTTCCCCTTGGATTGATCAAATGAAAGCAGGTTATTGCAGAATGTCATGTTTGACATTAGATCGTGTTGAGGCGTCAGCAGAAGAGTATTGTCCTGACTCAGAGCTCGTGTTTGTAGTGAAACAGAGACGCTCCGTGTTGCAGACACAGATGAGAATCCAGACTGACGTGGACCTGAGTGATGCAGCCGTCTCTGAGCAGCTGCTCAAACTGGTGCGTCCATGTCTTATGTTCAGTCTGTACAACCTCACTCACTCTGATTCTTTCTCAAACAGCTCCAAGAAAGACTCCAGGAGAAAAGCCCTGGGACTGACTTCAAACTGCGATGGAGCAAGGCCCCAGAAAAGCAAGACTCTACATAAGTTTATGAAAAGGCCAACTTTCTGACATGTGATAGATTGAGTTACGTTTATGATACAGCTTCATCTTTAGGCCTCTACTTCCTGTTTGCCCTAAACTAAAGAAATCCTCTGAAACACGTCGGCAGGTTGCTCGTCCATAAAGGACTTTCATGTCTCTAGATTGTTCTTCCTGTTTTTCCACTGACCTGGATTTGTTTTAGCTCCATCCACCAACCATGCCCCCTGCCCATCTGTCTAAATGCTCTGTTTTAAACATTTACATGACATCGTGGACAGACCGTTTTGTCTTTTCTGTTACTAATGGCTAAATAAAGTAATGATAATGTATCAGACTTTTAGAGAGAGAGTGCTTTATTTATTCCCAGACACAGTAGTGGTAAACTACTGTTAAATCTAAATTAACAATAAATACTCTGACTATAAAAGAGAGCAGCTTGTATACGTAAGGCTGTGTAGTGTAAATGTTATGCCGTATTTCAATAAATGGATCAGAGTGGAACAGCTTGTCTTTTGTGCGATTTATTTAAAAATGATGAAGAACAAACAATACATTATACTTCGCAGGATCAGAAAGGTGTGACACGGTCCAAAGACAAAATGGTGAGCTGGTGAAAAGGTGGTACTGCACCCTATTTTCAAAAGAGGGACACTTTATTCAATGTGCTTATTACACGGCTCCTCACAGCAGCAGGAGAACGCTCCATTGATCTGAAAGTCACAAAACGTTCATTATTTTTTATAACGGACCTCTCAAAACAATAATGGCCGCTGCCCTTTGGCAACGCACTCTCTGCTTGTCTTTCAAATGCGTGGATAACTCCGCAAGTAGTTCCGGCCACTCCGGAGCTAGCCACGCTCAATCAACACACTTAAATGTTAATCGGAGAATACTTTATACATATACATTCTTCACACACGTGCACGGAGGATTTCAGAATTTACTGCTCTTGTCGTCATGACAAAAATACTATTTCTCTGCGTCAAAAAGCGATTGTGAAAAATCCAGAAGTAGTTCCAGCCACTCCGGAGCTAGCCACGCTCATTAAACGCACATGCCAATCAATCAACGCCATTAAATGTTAATCGGAGAGTACATTATACATATCCAGTCTTAATACAAGTGCACCGAAGTTTTCAGAATTTTCCGTTTACGTTTTCATGACAAAAACACTGATGTAATGCGAGAAAAGGCGATCCCGAAAAATCCGGAAGTAGATACCGGCACATTTTAGGAACATTTGCAGAGGATGGAATTATGGATTTAGGTTAAGTTTATGTTTGGGTCACTCACCGCTGATGTTCAGGATTCTGTTGGGAAATGTTATGTGTATTATCATGTTAATAAATGTGTGTAGATTAGTAGGGTCTAGTCTTGTTAATCAACTCATGCATTGAGGGTGGCGAGAATGCAGAATTCTTTCAGCCCCCAGGCAAGAGTGAAAGACGAGAAGAGTAAACAAGCATGAAGCCAGAAAACATCTGGGTTGAGTTGGTCTCATACAAGAAGACACTTCTGATGGATGAGAAGATTGTTTTCTAACCTAGAGTTCAATAGCTCATATTGTCACATGTGTTTTAAATCCTTTTGGTATAAGAGGCGAGGCCTAACTATTAGCGTGGTCTTTTGTGCTTTGCCTCTCGTCCGCGCAGACCCAGGCTTTTCTCTCTGCCTGTCTTTTATATGTATTCTGTTTTATATATTAAACCTTCTTTTATATCTATCTAAGTTTGTAATTTCCTTCCTTTCATCGGGCGACTGTTTAAGGAAACCTGGCTGAACTAGCAGTAAAATTTTTTGGTCCTTCTTGCGCCGGATGTCAAAACATATTTTTTTGGAGCTGACCATCATTCCAACTGGAGATCTGACAACAGCAGCGAGGCCTGGAGGTTGCAGGTGGAGGAACAACTGCAGCGACAGTCTCCGTGTGGGTTTGATCAGCTTTGAAATTTGGATTGAAGACATAAAAGCCACGGTTTCCTTACGTCGCCAAAACAGGCAAGTTGGTTTTACTTTTTGAGTCGGGGATTCAAATTAATAAAGGCCTGGGATAACGGGGATTATCCTTTTTAAATAGTCGGGGACTATAGTGCAGGCAGTCTGGGCCGGGATAACGGGGTTTATCTTTAGATAGTCGGGGACTGTCATAGACTGTACAATAACGGGGTTATTATTAAGAGTAAGTCGGGGACTACTTTTTACTGCAGTTAAAAGTGAACGGGGTTCATTTTGAATTAAAGACGTCTGTGTGAATGTGTGTGTGAAAGGAGATCAATTCAATACTTGAAGCACCGGACAACCAGAAACCCAGCGGTGATAACGAAAAGTTGTCGACTTGGTGAAGTAGAGTCGGATTGCATCTCATTATGTTTTAAGTAATCGTGAAAGTGGTCTAAAACAATTACATTCCTTGTGATTAAACACCCAGGAGAAACCGGATGAAACATTAGGTTTTCATCTAGAAGCTTGTTTCTCGAGGAAGTAATTTGGCCCGTGAGGCATTCCACTAAGATAGTTTACAAATGTGTAATTAATATCCACTGTTGTATAACAGTACGGCACGGTGGCTGAGTGGATAGCACTCTCGCCTCTCAGCAAGAAGGTCCTGGGTTCGAATCCCGGGACCAGGGCCTTTCTGAGTGGAGTTTGCATGTTCTCCCCGTGTCTGCGTAGGTTTCCTCCGGGTGCTCCGGTTTCCCCTACCACTAAAAATATGTACAATAGGTCTGGCATGTGCCTCCTGTACTGGCGACCCCCGCTCCCAAAAATAACAATTGTAAACCGCTTTGAGACTCCGATGTGCAGTGAAAAGGCGGTATATAAATAAAGATTACTTACTACTTACTATAAGCAATAGTTAATAAATAAAAGTTGAAGAAGATATCGGAATAATAACTAAAAAGTAAATATGGGTACGTCCTGTACTAAAGCAATAGTTCTGACCGGAGACCCTAAATTTATGGAGAAGACATATCCTGAATCAGTAAAATATTTGAAAACCTGGAAAAAGAAATATGGTTTTGAGGGTAAACTAACCCTGAAAGAGTGTGAAATACTGGTGATGAAAGTTAGTCTAAGACTTAAGTCCAAAAAGAAGGCAACAGAAAAACAAGTGCATGAACAGAAAATGGCGGAGTTGTGGCTAGCAGCTGCAAAGTGTATCCATCCATCCGTCCATCCATTTTCTTCCCCTTAATCCATTTCTGGGTCGGGGGGGTGGCAGTCAGAGCTGCACCCAGTACACTTAACACCAGCCCTCACTGATCCTCCTGCAGGTGGTGAGTCCACAGGAGCTGAGATCTTTCAGTGGGAGCTTCAGGCAAAGTGGGGTTAAGTGTCTTGCCCAAGGACACAACGACAGCAGTCATCAGTGGGAGTCGTGAAGTAGGTCTTATGGTGGGCTTGAACCCACGACCTTCAATGCTCTACCAACTGAGCTACTGTCGCCCCCCGCTGCAAAGTGTAGAGATAAGCAAATAAAAGAAAAGAAGAGTAGGACGAGCTTAGTTGCCTTCACATCAGAAGAAGATAACTTGGTGCAAGCATCGAGACGCCCTGTGCAGCAGCCACAGAATCTAGTACAACAGCAGCAAGTACAACCCAGACAAGTGCAGATAGAGCAGGCTGTAGCACAGGCTCATAACCACACAGCAGCACCACCTCAATATACCCCACTGCAACAGACAACAAATCCATTCCCAGATCATCCCGTAAAACTACAGGATCATTTGTATCCACATGCAGAGCTAGAAGCAGCAGCACAGCCACAAGTCTGTGATGTGCAAACACCTGTTGCTACTAGATCACGGCATCCAATGAACGCGTCTTGGAGCAAAAGTTTTGGGAGCCTTTTCAGTCCAAGGTTTGACTTCTCAGAGCGAGGTGCAGATGCATTTCCACTGATAGAAGTGCCCAATCCCACTCATGATCCACAAGTGTTAGGAAGTCTGCCTACAATGTATGTGTTTCGTACTTGGACGAAAGCAGACATAATAAAAGCCACAGAAAGTGTCCTGAGCCATAGAGAAGACCCAGATGGTTTTTGTGATGGTATGAGACAACTAGTGGACATGTAGAGACTCAAAGGAATTGAAATTAGGGACATTTACATGACGAAAATGGGAGTAGACTGGGCTAGACTAAGACAACACTATAACCCAAATAACAATGCAAACCCACCTGTGTCTCTTCCTGCAGCTGACCCGCTTATTGATGGTAGATTAAATACTCTACATAATCAAATCAAAGAAATGTTCAAAACTTTACCTGACTACGGGAAGTTAGCTCAGGTGAGACAAAAGGAGGAGGAGACAGTGGTAGACTTTAGAGTGCGGTTTGAGACAGCCTTTAGAAAACACAGTGGGTTAACACTAGGAGCGCCCCTAGCGGTCAACTGACCGTCACTCACTTTAATATGCTAATTAGTGTATTCAAAACAAAACGCCAGAAGTTGAAATTTTATGACTTTTTCTAGGTACTTGTTGTTTATATTTTGGTGTGTTTTGGTTTTGGAAAAAGTAAAGAAAACAAGATTTACACGCATTTTAACTTTTCTAAACCACAGCCCTTTCTGCTGCCCCATGGAGATACATGGCGCAGGGGCGACTGTTGTCATAGTAACCTTTCCCGGGGGTTTTTCGCGCCTTATAAAAATGTATCAATATGTTTTCATTAGACTCTAAAGGGACTTTTTTATTATTATTTGGGAGAGAGGGAGGAGTACAAAATGAATAGAGCTGCAAGTACACGGTAGAAGCCCTGACAGTGCTTCAAGACATTGAATGAGAACAGTCTGACGGAGGTGAGAGATGTCACATTTTGAGGTAGAAAGTGACAGCGGGGAGAACACCTATAATATTCTAAATCTGAACGTAAACCCATAGTGCATTCACGGCACGGACAGCAGTGTTGTAACAAGTCCAGAAGCAATAACGCACATGACCCGCGTAATGCCAGCCATACGCAGGTGTCTGTGTGCGCGCTGTCGCTCCATTCTGCCTTTTCATTCATCATCAATTACATTATTA